CTGCTATGGCTTGTTATTAGCTCTGACCCCCAGGCAACTTTATTTATTAACATACAAATAAAATCACATTTCAGTACAAATAAAATATCACCATATCTAGAATTTTCTTAAAAAAAAAAACTTTATTATTTAAAAGGTTTATTACTTATTTAAGAATTATACACTGAAATTAACCAGGCCCCAAAACAATATTGGTCATCTTAAGCACTGATGTAAATAATTTGAACCCATCCATGAGAAGAGAAGCAGAAGTCATCACTGTTGGGGACAGAGGTGTTTATGGGGCCATGTGAAGATGAGATAAACCAATGGGCTGTGGGTTTAGACTGATCTGGATGCCAGTAGTTAATGTGGCAAATGCCTAATGCCATTTATTGAAGGAGGGAAGGGGTCTTGATTACAGGCTTACAGCACAATAGGAGAACCCCTGGAGGGCAGAAGTTCCCTACCCATGTTTTACAATCTTGCATCTAAGCTGTTAACGCCCATTATGCAGGATACACAGACAAGGAACTTCCCTTAAGCATTCAGGAGGGTGGCACCTGGCAGGGAACTAGCATAGGGAGGATACTGTGACATTATCAGGCGTCTATGTCATTGTCCACTTCTCTTATTGATCCTCCCCATTACAGTCGTTGACATTCTCACAGATATCCCTTGACCCATTTTTCTTCCCAATCATCTCCATTCTACTTTCATGTATATGTTCATCTTATGAGTGAGCAATGTAATATTTGAGGTTTTAAGACTTACTTCTTTCACTCACATGAAAATTTCAAGTTCCATCCATTTCTTTCAATGAATAACACAATATTATTATTCTCTAACACTGAATTAAACTCCATGATATTTATTCATCAATTTTATTAGTTTGTAATTTGTAATCATTTGATAAATTTTTGCTTTATTTTTGTTATACTTTTACTATTTAAAACAATTTTAAAATTTAAATATATTTTGATCATTGCTATTACTCCCCAAATCCTTGTAAATGCCCTCCCTGTCCCTAAACTAAGGTTATTGAACATTTCTTAGCCATTTGAGTTTCCCTTTTGAGAACCCTCTGTTTAGATCTCTATCCCATTTTTAATTGAATTATTTGTTTTCTTGAGATGTAGTTTTGTTAGTTCATTATATATTTTTGATATATCAAATGTGTAGTTGGGGAAAATCTTTTCCCATTCTGTAGGCTGCTGCTTTGTGTGAAGGATGGTGTCATATGTCTTACAAGTTTTTCAGTTTCATGGGATATCATTTATTAGTTGTTGATCTTAGCCTGTGCTATGTTCTATTCAGGAAGTCTTTCCTTGTGCCAATGAGTTCAAGGCTATTCTCCACTTTCTCTTCTATCAAGTTCAGTGTATCTGGTTTATACTTAGATCATTGACCCATTTGGAGTTGAGTTTTGTGGCAGGTGGTAAGTATGAATCTAACTGGATTCTTCTACATTCAGCCACCTACTTTGACCAGTACTATTTGTTGAAGATGCTGCATTTTTCCAGTACCTGTTTCTAGCTTCTTTATGAAACAGACAGACATACAGAAAGACAGACAGACAGACAAATCAGATGCCAATGGGTATGTAAATCTATGTCTTGTTTTTCAATTCAATTCCATTGATTGGTGAGTATGTTGTAGTGCCAATACCATGCTGTTTTTATTACTATAGCTTTGTAATGCTACTTGAAATTAGAGATGGTGATATCTCCAGAGGTTCTTTTATTGTTCAGGACTGTTTTAGCTTTCCTGCTGTTTGTGTTCCCATATGAAAGGGTTTTTTGAGGGGCCATCTTTAATAACTTTTTTTCATATTACATATCATCCCCAGTTCCTCCTCTCTCTCCTAATTGTCCTTTCCAAGTCTGTTAAGAATTGTGTTGGAATTTTGGTGGGGATTAAATCTGTAGATTACTTTTTGTAGAATGACATTTTTACTATATCACTCTTACTAATCCATGCACATGGGAGATATTTCCATCTTCTGATATCCTTTTATATTTCTTTCTTCAATGCTTTAAAGTTTTTATCATATAAGTCTTTCAATTGCTTGGTTAATTACCCCCAGGATATTTTATATTGCTTGAGGCTGTTATGAAAGGTGTTCTGTCTGTCTATTGTTTGTATATAGAAGGGCTCTGATTTTTCTGATTTGATTAGTATCTAGCTGGTTTTGCTGAAAGTGTGTATCAGCTGTAGGAGTTTCCTGGTAGAATTTTTGGTTCACTTTGCATTTGATAATATTATCTGCAAATAAAGATAACGTTGACTTCCTCTGTTGCAATTTGGGTCCCCTTGATCATGTCCCTCATTTGTCTTACTGCTCTAGCTGAGAATTCATGTACTGTATAGACTAGGTGTGGAGAGAATAGAGAACCTGTCATGTTCCTGATTTCAGTGTAATTGCTTTGAGTTCCTCTCTGTTTAATTGATTTTGGCTATGGGCTTGCTGTAAACTGACTTTATTATGTTTAGGTATGCCTCTTTTATCCCTAATATCTCCAGGACTTCTATCATGAACAGATGTTAGATTTTGTCAAAGGCCATTTCATCATCTAAATAGATGAACATGAAGTTTTTCTTTTAGTTTGTTTATATGATGTATTACATTTTTTTCAAAATATTTTTCATATATTGAACCATCTCTGCATCTCTGGGATGAAGGCTACCTGATCATGATGGATGATCTTTTAATGTGTTCTGGGATTCAGTTTGGAAGCATTTTATTGAGAATGTTTGTATCTATGTTCTTAAAGATAATTAGTCTGTAATTCTCTTTCTTGTTGAATCTCTATGTTATTTGGTGTCAGGGTGACTGTGACCTCATAAAATGAATTGGGTAATCTTGATTCTGTTTCTATTTTACTGAATCATTTGTAGAACATTGGCATCAATTCTTCTTTGAAAGTCCAGTAGAATTCTGTGCTAAAACTGCCTAGCATTGAATATTTTTGTCTGTTTGTTTTTTATCTGGTCTTGATTTGATTTTGGTAAGTGGTACTTGCTGAGGAAATTAGCCATTTTTATTAGGTTTTTCAATTTGGTGGAGGCCAGGTCTTTAAAGTATGTCCTTATGATCTGTGGCTTCCCTTTGTGTCCATTTGTATGTCCCCAAAATATTTATAGTTTTATTAACTTGGATATTCTCTCACCACCTTTTAGTTAATTGGGATAAGCATTTGTCAATCTTACAGAATTTTTTTAAAGTGCCAACTCTTTGTTTCATTGATTCTTTGTATTGATTTTTTGTGTTGTTTGTTCCTATTTTATTGATTTCAACACTGAGTTTGATTATTTTGCCATGTACTCCTTTTTGGTGTAGATTCTTCCTTTTGTTCCAGAGCTTTCAGATATTCTTGTAAATTTCTAATATGGTTTATCTCCATTTTTAACAGATGTAGGTATTTAGTTCTATAAACTTGCCTTTTACAACTGCCGTCATTGTGTTCCATAAGTTTGAGTGTACTGGGTATTGTTTTTTTCATTTAATTCTTGGAAATATTTAATTTCTTTTTAAATTTCTCTTGATTCATTTTTCATTTAGTAGTGAGTTGTTTAGTTTCCATGAGTTTGTAAGCATTCTGTTGTTTCTGCTGTTGATATCCAGCTTTAATATGCAGTGTCCAAATAGGTCTATGGGGTGTAATTTCAATTTCCTTTTAGACTTTCTTTGTGTCCAGGTATGTGGTCTATTTTGGAGAAATTTCCATGAGGTACGGAGAAGAAAGTGTGCTATTTTGTATTCAGGTAAAATGTTCCATCAATAACTATTAAGTCCATTTGGTATATAAGTTCAGTTAGCTCCAGCATTTCTCTATTTGTTTTGAAAGGATGGTCTCTCTATTGGTGACAGTGGGATATTGAATTCTCCCACTATCAGTATGTGAGGGACAATATGTGGTTTAAGATATAGTAGTGTTTCTTTTACAAACTTGTGTGTCTTATGTTTATGGAATATATTTTAAGAACTACAATGTCCTCTTGGTATATTTTTCCTTTAATCAGTATTTAGTATATGTTCCTGTTGCTAGAGTTTTCCTGCCTTGCCCACAGTCAGGATAAATCT